GGGGGGGAAGCACTGAATAACAATGAAAGAATTTTTCTTTTACTGTTCAAAGAGAAGAATGAACAGGGAGGAAGTGGTGAGCAGGGATAAAAGTGCAACAATGAATGAGTGGAAATCCAAAGTCTCTGTAAACTTTAATTAAAATTAATTAAAAAAAGAGACTGAAACTAAGACAATAAAAAAATTCCTGCAAGACACAATAAAAAAAAATCTAAAGAAATGAAAAAATGTGTACTGTTCATGGATAGGAAGATTCAGTATTTTGAAAATGACAATCCTACCAAAAGCAATCTATTTTCTTGACACAATCCCATTACAGATAGCAAATTCATTTGTCAATTAAATCAAAAGGGAAATTGGTAAGTTTATTTGGAGATGTAAGAGATTCCAAATAAGCAAAACACTTCTGAGAAACAAAAATGAAATGAGAGGCATAGCGCTTCCTGGCCTCAAAATGTTTTAAGTAAGCAGTGACAGTAACCAAAACATCATGGTTCTCTCATAAGGAAAGGTACATAGACCAATGGAACATACTTGAGAACCCAGAAAATGGCTCATCTATCTATGATCAGTTGATTTTTGAAAAGGAGACTAAATCAGTAAGTGGGGAAATGAGAAACCTTCTTGACAAATGAGCTGGCAAAATTGGAAATCCATCTGCAGAAAACTTAACAAGACCAAAACACCTCAAGTCATACATGTAAGCAAAAAAAAATCCAAGATGAAGCAGAGACCTAGAAGTAAAACTAAAGACCGTAAACTTCATCAGAGAAAATCTACCAATAACTCTAGACGTCCTAACCCAAAGCATGAACAGTCTTCTAAGCATAATGAAAAACCTACATCCAGGAGAGACTAAAATAGATGATGGAACATTCTAAGAACCAAATCCCAGTGCACATCAAAAAACCTTCTCCAACAGGGTAAGAACAAAACTTACAGACTGGGCAAAAATATGATAATGACAAATCTGTTGATTGTGGAACAGACCACAAATTACTCATATGTAAGTTCACATTGAAGTTAAAGAAAATAAAAACAAATCCACAGGAACCAAAATTTGACCTTATGTCTATGCCACTCAAATTTCAATACCATATCAGGAACAGGTTTGAGGCCTTGAACACCAGTGAGCAAAGACCAAATGAGCTGTCCATGAAGAATACAAATGATCATTACAAAGGAAGAAGAAGAAAAAGAAAAGGCCAAGGTGGATGTCAGATGAGACTCTGAATGTTGCATTTGAGGGCCAAGAAGCCAAAGCTAAAGGAAGAAATCAAGAAATAAAAGAGCTGAACAGAAAGTGTCAAAGGGCAGCTTGGAATGACATATAATGAAATGTGCAAAGAGCTGGAATAAAAAAATAAAAATGACTGAGCTCACTCAGCATTCCTTAAGTTGAAGGAATTGAAAAATGAATTCAAGCCATGGGTGGCAATACTTAAGGATGTTTTGGGTAGAATGTTAAATGATCCAAGAAGCATTAAAAGAAGATGGAAGGAGTATACAGAGTGATGGTATCAGAACGAATTGGCTAACACAGAAGAATTTAATGAAAATAAAAAACAAATGAACAAGGAACTGTGGTGGTAAAGGAAGAAGTTCAGCTGCACTGAAAGAATCGGCAAAAAACAAGGCTTCAGGAGTTTACAGCATACCAATTGAAATATTTCAACAAACAGACACTGGCCTGAATGTGCTCACTAAAGTGTGCCAAGAAATATGGAGGACAGCCAGCTGGTCAGCTGACTGGAAGAGATCTATGTTTGTTCCTATTCCACAGAAAGGTGACCCAAAAGAGTGCAGAAATTATCGAACAATATAATTAATATCAGATGGAAGCAAGATTCTGTTGAAAATTATCCAAAAAGACTGGAGCAACACGTCAACAGAGAACTGTCAGATGTGCAGGCTGGGTTTAGAAGAGGCCGTAGTACTAGGGATATTATAGCTAATGTTAGATGGATCTGGCAGAAAGCAGAGAGTGCCAGAGGAATGTCTATCTGTGTTTCATTGACTATGCAAAGGCTTTTGACTGTGTGGATCATAACAAACCGTGGTTGACTCTGAGAAGAATGGGAATCCCGGAACATTTGATTGTGCTTATGTGAAACCTACACTTTAACCAAGAGGCAGTCGTCAGAACAGAGGAAGGAGACACCACTACATGGTTCAAAATTAGGAAGGGTGTTCTCCAGGGATGAAGTCTGTCTCCATACATTTTTAACCTGTATGCAAAACAAATGATCTGGGATGCTGGGCTGTACAAGGAGGAATGTGGCATCAGGAGGGGAGGAAGATTCATCAGCAACCTGCGTTATGCTGATGACACAACCCTGCTTGCTGAAACTGAGGAGGACCTGAAGCACTTGCTATAGAGGGTCAAGGACTGCAACTTTCAATATGGCTTGAAGCTCAACATCAAGGAAACAAAAGATTCTCACCTTTGGGCCAATTGGAAGCATCATTATGGATTGTGAAGGATTGAGATTGTTAACAGTTTTATGTTGCTTGGCTCCACAATCAACACTCTTGGTACCAGCATCCAGGAAATCAAGAGACTAATTGCACTGGAAAAGTCAGCTGTCAGGGACCTCTCCAGAGTACTGAAGAGCAACGATGTCAGGCTGGAGACTAAGCAATGCCTGAGCCAGGCCATAGTCAGAGAGCTGGACAATGACTAGGGATGATAGAAAGAGAATTGATGCCTTTGAGTTGTCTTGCTGGAGAAGAGTGTTGAATATACCATGGACTGCTAGGAGAACAAACACGTTTGTCCTGGAGAGGGTGAAACCAGGTTGCTCCTTGGAGCAAGGATTCTGACATACTATGGGCATGTTTCAATGAGGGACCAGTCCTTAGAGAGGGATATAATGTTTGGGAAGGTGGAAAGACAGTGCAAGCGAGAAAGACCGATCGAGTCAGTGATTGGGATAATGGGAGTAGGTGTATCAGAGACAGTGGGATTGGCACAGGATAGAGTAGGGTTTAGGGCTCTTGTATATAGGGTCACTATGAATCGCAAGCGACTTGACAGCACATAACAACAAGAACAACTAGCACCTTAACAAGAAAAAGGTAAACAACACCTTCACTAAATGGGCACAGGATATGAACAGACACTTCACCAAAGAATATATTCAAATGGCAAGCAAACACATGAAAAAAATACTCAAAATACCTAGCTAACAGAGAGATGCAAATGAAAACAACTATGAGATATCATCTCACCCCAGTAATAATAGAAACGTTCAATAAGGCAACAAATAACACATTCAGGTGAGATTATGGAGAGATTGGACCCATAGTCACTGCTGAAGGGACTTTAAAATGGCACAGCCACTGTGGAACACCATTTGGGACTTTCTCAAAAAGTGGGAAAGAGAAATATCATTTGACCCAGCAATTTCTCTACTGGGAATATGCCCTAAAGAAATCAAAGACACTACTGAAACAGATGTATGTACATATATGTTTATTGTTGGGTAATTCACAATATTAAAGAGATAGAAGAAATCCAATTAACCAACAAACTAATGGATAGAAAAATTATGGTACACTCATACATGTAATGTTATACAACATTGAAAAGCAATGAACTTGGAAAACACTGCACAACATGGGAGAATCTGGAAAATATTTTGCTGAGTAAAATATCTGTCACTAAAGGAAAATATTTCAAAATACTGCAGTTATAAAATAGGACAAACATGAGGGAATGGGGAGAGAATGGGAAAAGAATGGATAGATAATGAACACTCCAAACATACATTAGAGCCACCAGGGGACAATCTAATGTAAATTTCTTAACCACACACCAGAAGGGAATGAGATTCAATCTTCTGAGTCAGAGTCTCTGGAGATTTTCTAATTTCTGCATTAGTGAGTCTTAACAGAGATCTTAGCAACTTTCTAGTGGTTATCTAAGTTGTAACTAAGGGTCTTTACCTTCTAGAATGATGAAGAAAATGATTGTTGCAATGAAACAACTATTTCATAATGGTCATAGAGCTCACAATAACTTTAAGTTCTATGATCATGAGACAATAACAAATAGATGATTCCTGTCTACCACAGCTGACCAATTTGAAAAGGATCATGTTAGAACATATTGGACAGAGTGTGAGACAAATGTGGAGCAAAACTTAAAACCACAAATGTAGCCACATTTATTTGTCTGAGAAAGACAGGTGGATCATGATACATCTAGTGGCCTTATCATAGTTCTTTTCACCTATATCTGGGTTCACCCTTGTGTCTCAAGTTCACCCAAACAATAGTAACAGAGAAGTACTCACTCTTAAAATAATAGCTATATGATTATGAATATAATAATGTGCATATTTTTATTCTTTGATGATGATTATTGATTATTATTATTATAATAAATTACTATTATAATCATAGAGTCACACAATTTGATGGGTGGAGGTAGGTGGAAAGATCTGGTGTTAAAAACAATGCATTCAAACTTTGGAAATAAACCAGAATTAAAAAAAAATTAATTACAGCCAAAAAAGATTAAAAAAAAATATCAGTAGAACTTCCTGACAGACGAAGTGCAGAAGTCAGGGAAGGAGAGGATAGAAGGATAAATACAATCCAGAATCACAGGGAGAAAGTAGGAAGTGTGCAGTTAGGAGATTTTAATCAATGTCACAATTGAAAAATATAGAAAAATTGTTGAATGAAAAATAAATATGCTCTGTAAAATTCCAATCAAATTGTAATAAAAAATAAAAGTTAGAAACTTTCCCCCCTAAAGTGTTATCCTTAGTGCTCCAAACATATCTTAAACACTCTTGTCTGCTCTGGGCTATGGTCACACAGAGCCACGTCATTCCATATCTTGCTAATATGCAGGAAGAGCACATGCAAATAGGGCTCTGTCTCTTGCTGATGAAAACCAGCCCAGCCCCAACCTTGCAGTTCTGGGAGAGGAGCCACAGAATCGCCAGTGTCCTCACTCAGGAACCAGAGGTGAACACCGACAAGTCACCATGTCTCCACTTAGCTGGATTTTCCTTGTTGCAATTTTAAAAGGTAATTTTGCAGAGAAAGAGTGTATATGAGTGAGTATGATTGAAACAATGGAAATTGTGTTACTGACTTTCCTGCCATTATGTTTGCAGGTGTCCAGTGTGAGGTGCCACTGGTGGAGTCTGGGGGAGACCTGAGGCAACCTGGGGGATCTCTGAAGCTCTCCTGTTTAGCCTCTGGGTTCACCTTCAGTAATGCTTGGATGCACTGGGTTCGCCAAGCTCCAGAAAAGGGACTGGAATGGGTCTCACGTATTAGTAAGAGTGGGGGTACAAGCTATGCAGATTCTGTAAAGGGCCGATTCACCATCTCCAGAGACAATGCCAAGAACATGCTGTATCTGCAGATGGACAGTCTGAAAACAGAGGACACAGCAGACACAGTGAGGGAAAGTCACCCTGACAAAAACCTCTCTCTGTGGGAGCTGAGAGCAAAGGACTCAGATCCAGGAGCAGGTGTAGATGTGAGTTAAAGGATGGTTTCCTGTAGTGAAACTTCCCCAGGGATTATTTCATATAAAGAACTCTGCTGGTTTAGTGGTAGAGAGTTGCATTGTTGTTAAAAGCACGAAGTTAACCTACCAGCTTCTCCATGAGAGTGAAGGGCAGCCTTCTTCTGTGCAATTTATTGGCTGTGTAAACACACTGGGAGTCAGTTGCAAGTTGCTTCCAACTTGATAGTACTAATTACAGCACACATGGTGAGGAAAAGTAGATCCACTGTTGGTTTCCCTCGCTGCTGAAGTTAATTTTTTATTTTGCTGGTCACAGCTTTCTTAACTTTCCAGTGAATACCAGGAGATGTCTTCATTTGATTATTTGTGAGCTTTTTTTTTTATTTCTTTTTTTTTATTGTTAACTCATCTATTTGTTTTAAAGGAGCAAGGTTATGTACATCATACTCTCTGAACCACAATAATTCATTTCTCCCCCCTAGGAGGGGTGGTAGTCCATCTGCAAAAGGTTTTCTAAGTCTCCAGGAAGGAATTCAAAAGAGTTGCTCATTTTCCTTATTTGTGCAAATATGATCATATCTTCTGCCACTGGTTAGTATAAATTTTCCCCATTGTCCATTCTCTGTTTTCTACCACACTTTTTAATTAATAGTGTTTTGTAAACTTTTTGAATAAAAACATAATTCTGCTCTGAATTTTTTTGTAAAATTATAATAATTAAGTGTTCTTAATATTATATGTGATTGATCATGAGGGGAGTAGTCCTTCAATTCCCCTTTTGTTTTTGTAACTGAGTTTTCAAAGTATAATGAATTCTTTCAGTTATAGTTTGCCCTTGGGATTATAAGGAATATATGCGCACTTGTCCAATCTTTAAAAAAAATCATGTAAATTTTTAGATATATACCTCTATTCACAATGAGTAGTTGGTGGTCTGTTCCACAATCAGCTCCTGGCCTAGTTTTCACAGCTGATATAGAGCTTCTCCAGCGGTTCTTTCCACAGATGTAATCGATCCGATTCCTATGCATACCATCAGGTGAAATCCAAGCATACAACCCGTGTTTATGTCTCTTAAAAATGTATTTGCTGTGAACAAGTCATTGATCGTGCAAAATTTGATCATTTTCTCTCCAGCTCCATTTCTGTCACCGAGTCTACTGAATCTTCTTCTTTGTTCCCGACTTTTGCATTCTAGTCACCCATTATTATCAATGCATCTTGATGGCATGTTCGATCAATCTCCGATTGTAAAAGTTGGTAGAAATCTTCTATATCCTCTTCTTGGCTCTGGTTGTTGGTACATATATTTGAATGACAGTGGTATTCACTGGACTTCCTTGTATGTGTATGGATATTATTCTGTCACTGACAATATTGTACTTCAAGATGGATCTAGCAATGAC